TGAGCTTAGGGGTGGAGGATCCCTCCAAGGGTCCCTGGCTTACTGAGGTAATTATATTATCTCACCCCGTGTTATGGAGATTACCATTTCAGGTACAGGAGCTGATGGTGCTGAGGCATAGCGTGGCAAGAAGCCAGACGAGAGATATTACCTGACCTGATAGTCAGGATTGGCTTGATATGTTGATGAGTATTTGACATGAATTTATTTTGGATATGTATCTATATGCCATGTCATTATTTTGAGAGCATAGGAAATGTCTATGCCATGTTGATAGTTATGTCTGTATATGTCTAGGTTACTTATTTGATTACATCTCTTTTGGTTGGTTGATGTAATCATGTAAGTAACTCTATGGTTATTATTTTGAGATCTGTTATGATTCTGAGATAGCCTACGCCATGAATGGCTAGGTAATATGATTTATGTCTGGATTATATCAAACTATCAATCAGGTTGAAATTATCTTGGTGGGAATTATCCCCAGTGGTCCAAAATACAGAGGAAATGCTGTCCGTTTTATTCTAACCATGAAAGTGAAAAGGTTTGCAATACATAAGGAAAAAGAGAAAATTTATTCAGTTAGCTTCCGCATTAATTAAGTTAAGCATGCTGCGCTTACTATCATATGAATGTTAATTAACCGGCTGCAGACGGGGCGTTACAGATGATGATATGTGGATATAGTGAGATTGTATGAGGTGTGAAATGATTAAAATTGAGTGAGAATTCCTTGGAGGTTCCAAGTTGGCCATTCGGCCATATAGAGAGTTTTAGGAAATTGATGTGGTTTGTATTGATTTGATGATGTTTCAAGTGTTGAATGGTATTTAAATGGGCTGTGTGGTGGTTGGAAAGTGGTAGAATCAATGAAAAATAATAAATGGTATTTAGGGTCATAAAGGAACCTAGAGTGAATTATTAAGCAAAACGGTGCTTAAAAGACGTAAAACCGAAAAACGACACTTGAATCAGCCTCTTGGCAACCTAACGATGTGTAATAAAATGAGAAAGAAAATTTAGAAAAATAAATTTGAAATTTATCCTTGTTTGGCCGAACCTTCAAGGGGAAGGGGGTGATTTTGACGTTTTTCGCGTTTTGATAGAATTGCCGTGTACTGACGATTCGTACATGGGTATTGTAGGTTGTCGTACGTCGATTTGAACCCCGAACCGTGAGTCGGTGGATTGCCCTTGGTCCTGGACCAAGTGGATTGAGGTAAGTGGTTGAATCAATGCATGTATAAGTGTACATTGGCATGTGTTGTATGAGTTTTTGAGTAATTGGGAATGTCCTCTGTGTAGGCATTCTGTTGAATAACGAGTTTGGAAATAAGCTGCCGTGGAGCTAAGTGGAGGAACATATTAAGGTAATCTCTTGGTACTGGGGCTTGTTCCCCTTGTGTGTTCCGCCATACCCGTTGAGGGTGATGGTAGGAAATGTGTATAGTAGTGTAGAATAACATGAGCATGCATGTAGTATTTATGAGGGTACTTATGTACTGAGTCTCTGCCCAGTAGACAGTGTAGCCTTCGGGCAGTGCGGACTTCCACTGGATAGGTCTCCAAGAGGGAGTTCCAGTTGACCTAGGGTTGTGGTGTGTCATCCGGGTATGAGCACACTAGGAAGTCTCGGGTGTATATGGATGGAAGGGGTACCTTGGTTGTGGTTCTTGGAACACACCTTGGATGAGACCCGTAGGCTTATATGCCGAGGACGTTGCGTGGTATTGGTAGCTACCATTCCAGCTTCGTCGTATTTTATATTTCGATATTCCCCAGTTTCACTAAATCCCTTGCTATATCCCGTTTTGAAAGTGGTTGTTTTATACTATTTATATGCATCGAAGTGAGCCATTGGGCGGAGTTTTCTCCAGAACCTCTGGGTTACTGAGATATATCTGTATATCTCACCCTGTCTTGGGGGCTTTATTTCAGTAGGTAACAGTGGCATTGGAGCGGCGAGCAAGAAGCCCGTAGGGTGATTAGTTGGAGCACTTTCTTTATTTTGCATTTTGTTGGCCATGTGGCCTAGGCTAGACTTAGGGCATGAACATCTCATATGTATGTAGAATGAGTTTCATTAGCATATTTGTTCATGTCGTTTTGCCTAGTAGTTATGTCATTTAAGCTTATGTTTCGATTTGTAATTAAAGTTGTAATATTTGTAAGTTGTAAATTAAAGTTGAAGTTGTAAGTTGTAACATGTAAGTTAAATGTTGTAATTGTACCTTGGATGCATGATGTATTATGATGGAAGGGCTTTAGGCCTATTTTAGGTTTGTGATTACTTGTATGTTGAGAAATTGCATGAATATGGACTTTGGTGATTGAAACAAGGTAAGGATTATAAAGTGAGCTATATTATGTAATAAATATAAACTGAGTTGGGTTGTCAGTGCCCCAAGGCATTGTTGGTCCTTGTGTGTGCCACCCATTGGATTATTGGGTATATTTGAGGTACTAGTGAGCTTATGCAAATTTGGGGATTTTAGGAAAAACAAAGGAAACTCTGGCGAATTTTCGGTAGAATTGGCAGAATCTAGGCGAACTTTGGGAGAGCATATATCCCTCCACAGAGGTCCGGTAGGGACGTGCCATACGCCATTTTAAAGCTTGAGATGTCCCCTACATGGTGTTAAAATATGAGAATTTTCTATGTTGCACGAAGCCCTGTAGGAGCCAGTGAACACTGATTGTCCAGATCACTCCTATGCAGGGGCTGTTTATGGCAGTTTTTGGGAAATTAATTCCTGCTTCGTTTCTCAGTCAAATTAAGCGTATGATATATCAAATTGAAGGTTGAGGTGTCTAGTTTGTAGTATAAATATTTGAGAGGAATTATATGAGTGTATTTTCTACAGTAATTCGTGGAGTGAGAGTGGTTTTGAGCTGTTTTGGAGTTGGTTGGCAGTTTTGCTTGTTCAACTTCAAACGTCGATAACCGGAGCAAACGAGCTCTAAATAAGGTGTGTGATAGCTTCCTAGAAATGTAATTAAGTAAGAAAAAAAGATAACTAGAGAGGAAGGTCTGGTTTTGCGTGGTGTGTTTGCAGAAAAATAATTAGTGAGCTATGTTTGGATAGGTGAAAACGTAAGGTTGAGAAATTGGCTAAGTGGGTTTATGGGAACCCCTTAGTAACTTATAATAAGTAAAATAAGATATAAAAATAGTTTAAATAAGTATTCCGCAAGAGTTTACAGTTATGGTCACAACTTTTAATTATTACGCTTTTTATTGTTTTAAATGCTCGCTTAATAATCGAAAAAGTTTATTCGCATTTTTATAAATGAATTGCTGTAATTGTAACTGCGCTTAATATCATAATTAATGTTAACAATACCGGTCTACAACGGGCTGTTACAATTTTGTTCTATATTTTTCTGTTTGGATATACATTGAATTTATGAATATTTATGGAATTACTAGTATTGTTGATTGTATATTCTGTTTGGATAAATTATTGTTATCTTATTTTTTTAAAACAGGCTACATCAGTCTTTTATTTTTTGTAAATAAGTCAGGCCATAGGCCGATAATTATATTTATAACAAGTAACATGCTTGATCAGACTGACACATTCAAACACAGGCTTAGCCTTTTAACACTAAAGTTCGGTTCGGCTCAGCCCGTTAACACCCCTATGTGTGAGTCACCTGCTTAGTGGATAGGATTGGATAGGATGTGCTCTGAGTACAAGTGTGTAGGTTGTAACTATGGTGGCAAGTTTTGTGAATACTATGATAGGTTATAAGATCAGTTCCCTCTTTGTTAGCTATAAATGGATTATATATAGATGAAATGCACTAGGAGATTGTGCTCTTATTGGGTAGTTTGCAGGTGACTTAATGGTGTGATGCAATGCTTGAGTGGTTATTTGTAGTGGATGGAAGTTAAGGGATAATGGTAGAATAAGATGCTCCGGGAACCACCTAAGTGGTCCATAACAGGAAATTTTTTAATATGCTCCAGGACCACCGTGATCCTTCCACTCAAGAATTGACATATGGATTAAATTTTTTTTCTCTTCTCTCCTCAACTTTTTCTCTCTTTTTCTCACCTCAGTCCCGCCCAAATTTTTTTTTCTCCGGACCAAATTAACTTCGCTCCCATAACAGAGGTTCATAGAAAAATGAAACTCCAAATGAAAATGACATAACTAGTTTTTAATAAGGGAAATATTAGTCTCCTTTTACATGAGGTAGCTTATCTCATTTTCTCTCACTTCGATTTCCGCACTTCACTTTTTTTTTTCTTGTAATGGTGGGACCCACCTAGTTTCTCTCTACAACATAAGATACATATCTTATGTAAAAGGAGATTAATAAAACCCATATATTAATCAATACCAGAAATAAAACATAATCTCTTAAATTCATTCTTGCATTAATTTATGAGAAATTAAAATTTCATCCACGAGATCGTCGTGGCAAACATTCAATACTTTTTGTTTCCCAAAAAAAAAAACATTCAATACTTTTTAAGGATCTCACGCGAGATGTCAATTTCTTCAAGAGTAACGTGTTTAAGCCAAATTTATCCTGCTTGCTGAAAAATAAAACTAGCATTTTAAAAAAGGGAATATCTTTTCTTATATAGCAGGTGAAAACATTAATCTCCAACAGATACAAATTTTAAGTGGGATTCGTGATTTCAAAAAAATAAAAAACGAAAAAGGGACAGACACTGTTACTGATGAGTGTGCAGAGAGTTGTTCTCCTTTTTGTCGCCAGAGACTAACATTTCCCTTTTATAAAAGGATCACGTGCGAATCACGTTTTTATGAAAACAGTAAAAACGCGAAACGCTAGCGACAAGGGTAAACGTTTTTAGGGCATTGGAAGTTAGAAACACACACCACACTCAAAACGGCAGCGACACGCTATCGCTAATTGTTCTGTGAACTCAGCTCAATTGTGAGCGGTTTGTTACTTACTTAACTGAAAACAAAAAAAATTTGTTCTATAACCGATTAATTCTAATCTCCTTATAAATATTATAATTTCATTTTTTTTTTTAATATTTTTGAGTTTTGCTTGTTATTTTCATTGGTATCTTGATGGTAAACTTCACCATTATATTTTGTTTTGTCTTGCTTGCAGAATTTTGTATATGTTTTATATATTTTTAAGCCGTGGATTGCGTAATTGGATAACTATTTTTAATTTTATGATTTGTTTTGTTTGTTTATTTATTTATTGGGTAACTATGATAAGGTTGGGGTTCATTGTATGTTTTGCACTTTGCAGTTCTGATTTTGGGTTTTCTGGAATGAAGGTAAGAATTTGTGATTTCAATTTTTTAATTTTTTTTGGGATTTTTCCCTTAGGGATTTTCTGAAAAGTCCATGTCTGAGTTTGATTGCAGAATGTAGGTGGAATGAGAATGGTTAGGAAGAGAATAATCACTTTGTGGAAGCTTTTCTGCACATTGATTGTGCTTAAAATAATAGTGTTTTTGAATATGGTTATGGAATCTTGTTGATGTTTTAGTTTGTATTTGGAATGGTTTCATTTGCATTGTTTTGCTTTTAATTTCCAGTGCTTGATTTGTTTCTCTGATCTTTCATTTGCGAAAAACAAATAGCTTATTTCAATAATGCTACGCTACTACTTTGCAAGCTGAGTTTTCATTTGAAGATTTTAAAAACACTAGGAGAGAAAATCTTTAGACTGTTTAGTCCTTCATTTTCTGGATACATGGGAAGTATCTCGGTATTGATCATAATAATATATTTGTTCTGCTGGGAAAATGTACCTGGCTAATTTGAACTGTGTTGGCATTTTCGTAATGTATTTTATTTAAAATAAGAGGGTCTGAATCACTTCAGATTTGAGTATGATCATTATCAGTTTCATTTTCGCTTATGTAAAATTTATTCTTTTGTTATAAACAAAATTATCAGCTTCATGTTTATATCCAACTGTTACCTGTGGACAGGTTCTATATAGCAAGGAGACATCTATTTTTTTGGTTTGCTGATACCTTACTTTATTATGCAACATGGAGTCCCGATTAGTTGATGGAAATGATGGGATGGAAGTTTCTGGGGATGTTGGTTTGAGTACGATTGAAATTCAGATACATCAAGAAACATATGCAGGTATGCTATGTTAATCGTTTAATTTAAATATGGAATTCTGAATGATTAAAAGCAATTGCTTGTTTTAAGTGTAAAGCTCTGCGTCCTATTTATGACATTGTCCTGGTGTCTGCATAATGTAACAATTGATGTGGAATGTTTCAAGCTTTTATGACTGTAAACCTGAGATCTTGCACCGTCCACCCCGGGGTGGAAATAAAAAGAGTGATTTAACTAGTGTCCATTCCACAATATGTTATCTCGAATTATTGCATTTGATTATGGTACACCTCAAACATAGTTCCCACTTTTCAACTTTCAAAAATTGTTACTCAAAATACAAGAAGTCTAAAACTATGCTAAAAACAGTATCATGTACGTGGAAAGTCTATTGATACGTGGGAATCAAAGAGAGCTTGTAATAGCAATTATGTACCATGAACCCCGATTTACAGTACTGATGAAACTTACACTTCTAAATTGCAGTTTGTTGCATGCTACTTAATTTCTCTGTTGTAGTGTGTATAGTTTATATCTTTACAATATACCTGAATTTGATACAGCTATTCAATATGATAGCTTAATCCTACAACATGCATCCCCTAACAAATTCCTTAAATTGTGTATGTTATACTTCCTTTGGTCCATCTATGCATTGTATTGGCCATATCCTCCTTAAACAAAGAAATTATTGAGGTAGTGAGCCCAAGACACTCAAAATGCAACAATGTTGTTCAATCTCTCTGCACTGCATGTTAGACAAGGAAACACCCATAATTAACCATGCACAGAACATCAAAGAGAAGGCATAAAACACAATTCTTTTGTTTCCATAACTTGTGTAAATGGTAGCGAAATGCCATACCCTTGAAGATGTAAGTATTCAATTTCTGCTCTTGTCATATACTCCAGCGAATAACAAGCTGCATACTGCCATTAAGTTTTGACCTTTTTCCTTCCAAAATGATTAAAATGTGTCATGAGAAACTGCTCCAGGGTGGCAGGACATGCCCCGGATTCTTTAAAAACCGAACAGATTCTTCCTTGAGATAGCAATGGCCTTATTATGCAAAATTAAATTGTTAGATGTTTCCAAGCTAAGGTCTTACTTTACACGTATATCAGGAAATATCTGTCTAAGGTTTGCAATGTCTCAACATGTCTTTGGTATTAATCTTGTTGAGTACCACTATCAAAACAAAATATTTGACCCTAGGAGTTTTAGATTTCCAATTAGACCTTTTCTTGTTAGAATGAAGAACTGAAAATAGGATTTCCAACAGAGCTTGCAAGAATCAAAACCAAACTCTTTTGCCTGGATTGGGGGAAACTGAGAAAGACGAATAGAATTGTGAGTTAGTTTATCATTTGGATTCCTGAGAATGGAAATTCTGAGGGGGATTAGAACCTTGAATGGAATGAAATATTTTTGTGGGAGAGTTATATGAAGGAAAAGATGACAGAGAAGAGAAAAGCTTCCAACAAAACCCTGAACAAACATCACTTCAAAAGCTCATGCAAGAACCATGACCCAAACTCAAAGAAACCAGTAGTCTGTCTCAAAGAAACATATCACTGAGAGATACATTTCCAGAGATTCACAAGGGTTGCAGTGATTGCTGGGCTGGCATCCTTCCACTGGAAACCTTAATTTATTTCTTTTTCTTGGACGGGTGAGGGGTGGGGCTAAGAAAAGAACCAGAATAAGATTTATGCCTGTGTATGCATGTACATATATATGACAGGTAAAGGTTCTCCATCAGGAGAAATAACCTTTAGACCTTCTGATTATATATAGAATTCTTGATTTCTTTTCTTCTCTGCAGTCGAACAGCTGTACTCTTAGAATTTAAAGTTCTTTCTCCATATTTCATTCTTAGCAAATGACACAAATGTTATCTCCTTCATTATTTATTTTCATTATAAAGAATCTTTTTAAGGGGTTCAAAACTCAAAAGATAATTTGTTTTGTGACAGTGGATCCAAATGAGGGGTGTAGAGTGCTAGAGGGTTCCTCTGGAAGAGAGTTGGTCATCTTTGATGACCATGCTATTCAGGAACCATATGAAGGCATGGAGTTTGAATCTGAAGATGCTGCTAAGATATTCTATGATGAATATGCCCGACGTGTAGGATTTGTCATGCGTGTTATGTCTTGTCGACGCTCAGAAAGAGATGGTAGGATTCTTGCCCGCAGGCTTGGATGTAATAAGGAGGGTTATTGTGTCAGCATCCGAGGGAAATTTGGGTCAGTTCGTAAACCAAGGGCCAGCACAAGGGAAGGTTGTAAGGCGATGATTCATATCAAATATGATAAGTCTGGAAAATGGGTGATAACAAAATTTGTGAAGGATCATAATCATGAACTAGTAGTCTCTCCACGTGAAGCACGTCAAACCATGGTAGGTTCATATTTCTTATCTAACTGTATACTCTTTCTTTAACAAATGTTTTTCTATTATCAATCATTCGCCCTATGCAGTGTTCCTTTTATTATTTCTATATATTTTTCTGGTTGTTAAACATTGTATTGTGCCTTGATTTTTCAATAGTTAAAGATTTAAATGCCGTAGTTGGTATACTGTAGAAACTGTGATAGTACTATTATGATATTAGATGATTAGGGTATTAATGTCATAAAAAATATGGATTCCCTAGGGTTTTTGCCACAATTAGTTTGGGTACTCTCTGAAGGGTGTATTCAAAATCACGTTTGTTACAAGATTTTGTGTGCTTGATCTTTGAGAGATGAATCTCGAAAGAAATGAAATATTGGATTCTGTCTTTCTATAAGCAACTCATATTTCCTGCTTGTGCGTGTACATGATTAACAATTTAAAAGCTACGTGTCAGTATAAGTAGGATCCTAAATTCTGGAAATAGCACTGAGGTGATATAGGATAGGTAAGTGAGAAAGGGAAGGGAAGAAGAAATTGAGGAAGAGAGGAACAGAAAGGAAGGAGAAATGGTGAAGACAAGGGAGCAAACAGAGGCGAGGGTATAAAACAGAGGTTCAGGACCAATTTTGAATATCAATTTACGTCTGTGTAAAATACATAGCAATAAGCAATCCTTACATAATCAAACACGACTTGACAACCAAGCAATCCTAAATTCCTTGACATCCCAAATAACCCCAATTCACTAAAAATACCCTAACAACACACAAATTACTAATAATACCTAAGTAACCATAGTACTGTAATTCTCTGTATTTCGTATCTGATAGATACCAACTAATACCAGAAATGTAATGAAGAAACAAGAAATGGATTCTGATATTGATTTAGCGGATCAACAGAATTCTGTTACAAAATTACAAACACCAATTTCTGGGAATGAGAAAGAAAGATTACAAGGGACAGTGTAACAAGATAACTAAAGAAAGGAAAAATAGTGACAATGGAATCCAAGCTCAGAGGAGTAGATTGCTCCCACCATTGCTACCAATCCAACACTAACATCACTGGTGGTATTTCTTTCCCTGTCAATTATCCGATTCACATAGAAGTAACATTCCACCTTGTTTAACCAGCCATAAGCTCCTTCCCCGGTGAACACTGGAAGCTCCAATTTCCTTGCAGGATTATCTGGATTCATCTGTTCACGATGAGTTCCTCCATTCGATTCTTCTGAGTCTCGATATCACCGACCAGATCTCCTCCTACAAGAACGACGCTCATCGTTGTGCCTGTTTGCATTTGTCAGAAGTGCATCAAGACGAAGCAGCACTTCTGTTTGGCTTTCCTTTGTTCTCCTGATTCCTCTCCTCATTCTGTCTTCCAAAGCTTCAAATCTCCCTTCCATGCTTCTTGACTCTTGTTTGTTACACCATGCAGAGCTTCCAATCTGGATCACAGGAGCTCCGATACCAGTTGATAGATACCAACTAATCCCAAAAATGTAATGAACAAACAAGAAACAGATTCTGATATTGATTTAGTGGATTCAACAAAATTCTGGTACAAAATTTCAAACACCAATTTCTGGGAATGAGAAAGAGAGATTACAGGGGATAGTGTAACAAGAAAACTAAAGAAAGGGAAAATAGTGACAATGGAAACCAAGCTCAGAGCAGTTTGAGGGGCTCTGAATTCCCTCCCAAGCTTTCTCTATTTAACCTAGGTCCTCACCACGCATTCTGTTAGACATGTCAGCAGCAGCAACATTTTTGTCATCATGCATTCTGTTAGCGACGACATTCTCCCTTAACAGGATAGTTCTGACTCAGCAGGAGGAATAAATCCTCTGTGCATTTTCTTGAGTATACCTTTAGGGGTGCCTTATCATTATCCCTGTGGGAGTTGCTCAAACTATAGAAAAGATTAAGAGGAGTTTTCTTTGGTCGGGCATCCTGTGTACAAGACTGGATCACATGGTGAGTTGGGAAGTGTGCTGTCTTCCTAACGAAGGGGGTTTGGGTCTTGGTAATTTGGTGCCTAAGAACATTGATCTGGCTGGTAAACTTTGGAACCTCACTCTTTCTAGCATTAGGTCGTATGGTTTACATCCAAATGGGTGGGATGCCAACACTTCCTTCCGGGCCTCATTAATTGCAACAACCACAATAATTTGAAATTATGCTGTACAGTGCAATGTGTTAGTGATTCTTTGCTGTCTTTTAAGGCATACATTCAAGTAGAATACTGGCTATAGTTGTCATGTGAAAAAAATTGTACTGTTTTTGGGTGCTTTGTATACATGCCTGGTTTCTTAAAACTAAATGATATGTTTGTTAACATTTCCTTAATCAGTTTCTGTTGCGTTGCTGTTTTAGGATGAGAAGGATAAGAGAATTCAGGAATTAACAGCAGAGCTTCGGAATAAAAAACGGTTGTGTGCAGCATATCAAGAACATTTAACTTCTTTTATGAAAATTGTTGAAGAACACAGTGACAAGCTGTCTGCGAAAATTCATCACGTGGTTAATAATCTTAAAGAGTTTGAATCCATAGAAGAGCTTTTGCACCAGACGTAGCCCTGAATTATGTGAGTATTCAAACTCTTTATTATTAGTAGTTATATATATTCTTTCTTAATATATATCTACTCTTTTACAAAAGAGAATTTTTTTTCTCACCTGGGGATCTGATAACGCAGTTTTTTTCCACTCTCTAAAACTGTGTACATGAATTCTAGCTATACTTAATGCTGTCTATAGTTGGTCTTACGGAATTTGAAATGCTGTTTGGGAACTAGATTTCCATTTCATAATATTGTGTGGTGTATTGATTTAATGCCTGTATTTACTTGGGGCTGTAATTGTTATAGCCCTTGCCATTTCAGGTTACTGGGTATGTTCGCATGTCAATTAACAATTTGTATTTGCATGTGTGCAAACTTCACTCAAATTTACTTTTCATATAAAATATTAAATCTTGGTTATGTATCTTGAAGATTTGTTTCAAGAAAAAAAGAAAATCCTGAACATTAAGTTTGCACGGTACATAATTCTGCTATTTTCTTCCACGTTCTGAATGCAACTTTCTAGTTGGACCTATAATCCATTTATTTTAATATAATTAATCCAGTTTTTTATTTTTGGTCTCAATCATACTTGTAATGTAAGACTATTGCTCTAGCTTTTATTTTTTGGTCTTTATGACATGAGATTCATGCAGATTGTAGTTATCCATGTGTAATGTACAATGCAGGCCGCGGGGTGACCACTAACTTGTATGTAAAATTCTGTGTCATGTTCAAAGGATGGCCCTTTTATCCTTCATAAATGGAGAAGCTGATTCAGTGATGAATACTTGGTAAGACAAGCTTTGTGGCATAGAAATGGCAACCATATCTTCAAACAGTGAAGTTTGATAACCTGTCAGAATATATATGCTGCAAAAGCTAAAATACTGTTGTGACATTTTGTCAGTAACACAGAAATTGGTTACATACATACCTTTACGCCTCACAGTGCGATTTAATCTTGTATTAGCTCTTTTCCTTTTTTCTTTTTGTTAGAGGAAAATGTATACAATAAAATTATGACTTGCTTAGCTTAAAAAGTATAGGACAAATGTGCTGGAATGATTTTCCCTCTTACAAGCTATCGTGTCATGTAATCCTTCTTTCTTTGTAAATATTTGTGAATATAGTTTTGGGAACATTTGAAAAATAATAGTAATGATGAGTTTGTGGAGTTAATTGTTTCACGCAAAACAAGTTGGTGACTCCTTACTGATTTGATAAATAAATAAATGAATGAAAGATTTAATTGAAGAGACCCCTAATAACAATTGTACCCAAAAATATCCCCTCTAATTTGTATATCTATATCTATATCAATATTTATTTAAACATGTTAATAAAATTGTCTTGAAGAGGAATTAACTGAATTTAGTCATTATTTATTAAATTTTAGAAGTAATTAATGGCATTATATATATTGTTAAACATGAACTTTAGAGTTAAGATTGAGTTAAAAATGTATAATATTATTGTAAAAAAGAAAATAAATTGAAATAAAATTATAAATACTTTTTATGCCATCAATTCAAAAGTAATTTTAACATTCTAAAATAAATCAATTTTGTACTATATTTAATTATCTTTTCTGTAAAATAGTGAAATTATTGTTGCAAATTTGAACAATGTTAATGGAAGATAAAATTGTCAAATGAGGTGTCATTGCGTAGATCTCGAAAAATTATGTGAAATAAAAAAAATCATTTGATTTGAAATCCCGAGTCAAAAGTTATGGCCTTCTGAAGTTTTACGGTATCGAAATTAACGAGATTGTGCCACTTGGTACAATCCTGTAAGTTCCCGAGGGGAGGGGGCGTGACTCAAATGAATAAAAAATAAAATAAAAGAATGAGAGTGACGTGGGGGGTGGTTTGCGGCACTTGTGATGCTGGGTCCTTCGCGTTACTAAATGACCCCATTGGTAATTACTGTAATTCAGATATCAAATTGATAAATTAAAATCACATTAAACCCTAATTGGTCAAAGAGCCCTATTTACACACCTAGTTATAATTTATTGATATAACTGTAAGATTGATGAAAATTAATAATTACGATTTAATAGTAAAAATAGTAAGAAATAATAATAATAAGTATAACCTACCTAGGGGTGTTAACGGGCCGAGCCGAGCCATGCTTTGGTCTTAAAAGGCTAAGTCTGTGTTTAAATGTGCCAGCCTGATCAAGCCTGTTACCTGTTATGAATATAATTATCGGCCTGTGGCCTGACTTATTTACAAAAAATGAAAGCCTTATTTAGCATGTTTAAAAAAAATAAGACAACAAAAATTTATCAAACAGAATGTACAATCAACAACACTATTAATTTCATAAATATTCATAAATTTAATGTATATCCAAACAGCATAATATAGAACAAAATCATTCAAAAGTTTGTTTAACCAATAAAATGAGGTGAAATGGATTGAAGAGAGAGAGAGGATTATTACAAGTAGTATAAAAAATATAAAATAAAAATAAAAATTAATATACTAGGTCAGCCTGAAAGGCTCTAAGGCCGAACTTTTGAATTGAAGCCTGAAGCCTTTTTATTAAATGAGCTTTTATACAAGTTCAAGCCTGATTCTAACAACCAATTTTACACATATAAGCTCAGACATTCACGAGCCGAGCCAAAAGTCTCTGGTTCGTTTATCACCTCTAAACCTACCTATATATTCAAAGCTTAAACATCCAATAACTTCATAAATAAATGGAAAAAAAAAATATTCAATTTATTTTTTCCCTCACTTAATAATAACGTTATCTGATATACCTGTTCTGATTGATCTGTTCATTAAAGTATGGTTGTGTTGTGTGACGAAATCGCTTGAAATCCAAATATGATAAATAGCCATGTAATCAAAATTTTCAGTTCAGCGTTAGATAACAACCATGTCAAGAGAACCTAACATAGTGTTCCTTGAAGAATGGCTAAACACCATGTGTGGCCATCCCAAAACTTCTTCATCATCATCATCATCATCAACCACAGCTTCAGCCATCATTCAATCATGGACCTCTCTTCGAAACTCTCTCCAACAACACCATCATCATCATAATCATCTTCTTCTTCAGCAGCATCAGCATCTCAAAACCCTCGTTAATTCCCAATCATCTCTCCACGTGGCAGATCCTCAAGCAACACTCCTCCTCTCCATTCTCTCCAACTCTAACAACTCTTCTCTCCCTCGCGATTCCTATCCTCTCATTTTCAGGCTTCTCTACATTTGGGCCCGAAAATCCACAAGGCCCAATCCTTCCATCATCGATTCCACTCTCCAACTTCTCTCTACAATCTTCTCTTCTTCTCCAATCCAAAACCAAAACAATCCATTCTTCTTCTCCGAATCAATTCTCCTTTTGGGTTCATTCTCTTTCATACCTTCTTTATCCCTAAAAACTAAAACGCTTTGTTTGGAATTGTTCTCTTCACTGTTAACGGGGAATCGTGAGTTGCTTTGTTCTGTTACGCAACTCGATCCTCTGCTGCCACGTGTCCTCGCTGGAATCGGTTATGCTCTGTCATCTTCTGTTACTGTTCATTATCCAAGGATAGTGGATTCCTTGTTTGGAATTTGGAGCAACGAAAATGGCACTGTGCTTCATGGACTCATGGTTCTTTATTTGATTGATTGGGTTATGACTAACCTCATCAATTTCCGGTTTTTGGATAAAATTCGTGTTTTTCTCAATGAGGGTTTTGAGCAAAGATATGCTCAATTTGCTGTTTTCATGGCTTCGGTTGGGGTTTTAAGAGCTGCGAATAGATTTTCATCGATGAAATTGGATGTTGTTAGTGAAATGAAGACTTGTGCTGTTGTTTGGATGGAAGGTTTAGTTAGTGATTTGGTTTCTAGGACTATGAGGTTTGGTGGTTCACAATATAGGCTTTTGCTTCAGTGTGTTGCGTTGGCATTGGCTCGAACTGGAACCGGAACTGGAACTGGTTCGGTTTCGGGTCATTCCTCTTTGCTTGTTTGTCTTGCTCTTGCATTGTTGAATGAAGTGTTTCCATTGCGACGATTGTATGAATTGGTGCTTGAATTGTGTTCTTCTTCGGGTGGATTGAAGCTTAATGAGATAAAAGAACATGTAGATAGTGTACTCTTCAAGGAAGCGGGCGCGGTGACGGGGGTTTTCTGCAATCAGTATGTTTTGGCAGATGAAGAGAGTAAGCGTGTGGTGGAGAATCTTATGTGGGGATACTGTAGGGATATCTACTTTGGACACAGGCAAGTGGCTATGCTTCTTAAAGGCAAGGAGGATGCGTTGCTTGAGGGTTTGGAGAAAATCGCGGAATCTGCTTTCCTTATGGTTGTTGTCTTTGCATTGGCCGTGGCAAAGCACAAGTTGAACTCCAAATTTGGTCAAGAAATAGAGATGGAGGTCTCGTTGGAGATACTAGTATCGTTTTCTTGTGTGGAATATTTTCGCCGTGTCCGATTGCCGGAGTATATGGATACCATTCGCAAGGTAGTTGCTAGTGTTAACAAGAATGAGCATGCTTGTACCTGTTTTATGAACTCCATGCCCTCTTATGTTGACTTGACAAATGGTCCCTCGGGTATGGTTTTTCAGAGTTGCATCTTTCTTTGATGTGAATTGCACATTTATTTTTTGATTATGTTGTGTTTTATAAGATTCCATATTGTCTTCTAGACCAGAAAACCAAATACTTATGGTCCAAGGATGAAGTGCAAACAGCTCGCATTTTATTTTACCTACGAGTCATTCCAACTTTTATTGAGTGCTTGCCCAGCCATGTATTCAGAAACATGGTAGCTCCAACTATGTTCTTGTATCCTATATAAACTACGTACATGTTTGGTTTTTGCACAAAGTTACGTTTCAGCCAAGAGTTCTCTCTGCAGTCTTTTATTTACAATTTATTCTGAATACTAAATAAGTTAATCCGAACATGCATTAAATAATATTTTGGTGTCCCTGGTCACATGATCATGCTCAGAAAATTTGCTTCCTTAATTCAAATGAAACTAGATATATGGAGCACCTGAATGGAAAAGTAGCCCGAGCCTCTCATTCTGTGTTCGTGGCATTTATGTCTATGGGGAAGGAATCTGAAAAGAATGATAAAGTGTCGTTGAAGGAGCAGCTTGTTTTCCATTACATACAAAGATCCTTATTGGTATTTGATTCTACTAAAGACCTTGATCCTAAATCCCTGAAACTGATACTCTCGAATGCATTTTTATTTTATCATGTAATATGAATATAGGGATATCCTGGCATTACTCCTTTTGAGGGTATGGCTTCTGGGGTTGTAGGAATTGTCCAGCATCTTCCTGCTGGAAGCCCTGCCATTTTTTATTGCATTCACAGTCTTGTTGAGAAAACCAATCAGCTCTGTTCTCAAGTCTTCACCCACGAGGCCGATGCATGGAAGAAGTGGCAAGGAGAGCCGGAACCAAGCAAGAAATTAATGGACTTGCTTTTACGCCTGGTTTTCCTTGTTGATATACAAGTAAGTTGTTAATTGATCAAATTATAATTAACTGCTTTGATTTGTACTGTGATTTTTGCCACATCATGTAAAATTAAGCAATATAGACCTTCCAAAACTCGAAGATGGTACATGCTATTAAGTTGGCCACCCTGTTAAATAGTAATATGTTTGGTGTTTAAGTGCTTAAAATTTGTGATTTGGATATTGTATTTTTCTGTATGCATTAAATATTGATTTTAAACTTGATTGTGCAAGCCTTTTATCACTTTTTAGGTCTTGCCCAACTTGATGAAACTGTTGGCACAGCTGATTACTACGTTACCTCAGGATGCACAAAACATAGTTCTTAATGAGTTATATTCACAAGTGGCAGATTCAGATGATGTCATCCGCAAACCCACATTGGTTTCATGGCTGCAATCACTATCTTACCTTTGCACAAAGACTTCAAATCAAAATGGTGCCTCCAAAAATAATAAAAGTGAAGATAATCTGACTTCAGCTTATATTGCAGATCCATTAAGTGGTGGAAGATTAACTGCACAACTTTGAGAGATTCAGGTTATATAAATATTTTGTATACTATATCCTGTTTTGTACTTTCTGGTCTCCGTGATAAATTCTCTAGTTATGTTAGGTCATATTAATGCATGTGATAAATTCTCTAGTTTTGTGAGGTCATATTAATGCATCTTTGTGACCAGAAGGTTATGGGTTCGAGTACAGGGAAAAACCTCTTCGCAAAAATACAAGGGTAATTTGAGGGTGGAAAAGTAATTTTTTGGAGCATTTGAAATACTTTAATGGGTTTGTCTATCCACATTTTGTTTCATTAGTTTCGTGCTTGAGGTAGGGTCTCCCTGCCTCCATAGTTATTTGTTCTCAACCTCGATTGCTTCTCAACCATGACTTCTATTTGATTTTTGAAGAACCCCTTGCGATGACAAACCTCGCTTACTGGAATTTCTCAGTTAGGTTCGTTTCAATTTTCCATTTCAATTTCCTTTGTTATACTCATGTTCCTCAATCCTCATTCAATCTTACAAAATTCTTGTTCTTTCCGAGTCAACTTTGCTTTAATGAGGTTTTGGACCTTTGGGTGTCTTGGTTTTTTCTGTGATTTCAATGACATACCTTTGTTTTATGCCCTTCAATGTGTTATGGTGCACTTTGTGATTTTTTGAACTTTGATAGATATGATAAACCACGGGGTGAAATTTATGAGATGTTATACAGGATAATAATAGTGGTATCTGGTTGTTCATTTGAACATTGCTTATGCCGTTCAATGTGTTATGGTGCTGGAACCAGATGTTTGTTTGTATCAGTCATGGACTATTTCATCATGACCTGGGTCTGGGTGAGGAAAGGGACTTTTCTAATTAATATTTTATTTTATTGCATGCAAATTCTATGAAAATTATGAAGTATTGTTTATGTTTTCTTCTGTGTCGGGGAAGAAAAATTGACAGACTCAAATCCAGATGTAGGTTAAATTCTTGTTGGTGAAATATTTCAAGTTTGATTGATTCGAAGCTTGGTTTGATGCTTGCATTTTCTCCTCCTTTTCCTTCTATTCCTGTTTTCACTTTGAAAATAACTGAGTGGATGATTCTATAGAACTAGGTATGTTTATTAATGGAATGTGCCAGTATTTTAGAGAGTATGTAAGATTTTTATGCTGCTTTAAAGACCTTTACTTTTGCATTGGAAAATAATCTGCTACCCTTATGTCGTGACACTTTGTAATTTAGTTGATTTGATTTTGATTACTATTTGGTAAAAATGAGAACCTTCTATAGTTCCATAAGACACGGGCTGAATAAAATAATGGGTTGCAAATGTGTGAGGGAATCTGGTGTTGTTGTAGTGAGAAGCTTGAGAATTAATGAAATTTTGTTTCTGATATGCCACTTATGATTGTTGCATATGAGTGGTTGAAGATGGATTTTAGTATGAATATAATTTGTTTCATTAATTGTTTTTTTAGGTGGTACACAAGTTGTAAAGGCTGAACTATTACATGCTTTGTTGGCCCTGTTGCTTGGTTATCTATATTCTGGGTTAGTAAATAGAAAGTTCCATGTTACTTGGTTATCTATATTTTGGGTTAGTAAATAGAAAGTGCTCTGTTTCAGGATATGTTGCTTCAAGATGCAAAGCTGCAAATAATTTCCTTGTTGAAGTTATTTGAGCCATCACCGGTAAAAGTTAAGTAGAAAGGGTGTGAACTTGGTTTGCGGAGTAGAATATACTTAGGATTCTTGTTTGACGTTAGGAATAAACATGCTGACTGTTTTTCCTCTTTTTTGGGTTCATGTAATTTGCTTGATGATGTACGTATTGACTATTCATGGTTGGTTTTACTAGTGTTTCTCTTGTTTAGCATTTATATTTTCGATATATGAATTGTAGCCTATAATTTTACATTTTGGGGTCTTTAGAAAGTGAAAAGTAAGAGCTACATGTGTCATCTTTTAGTAATGATGGCCAGTTTGCAAGTGAGTAATGCATAGTGTGAGGATTCTGAAGACTTACTATGTTGCTTAGAATAGCACGTTAAACTCGGGATTCCGGGTTTGTTGGTACTGTTACTTGAGCTGCCATAGATTTGGTGTTATTTTTCTTGTTTTAGTCTTGAAGGGTGTGGTTTGTTCTATAGTTTGGTTAAGAATATGGAAATATGGTTTGCTTTTTTTCTGCTTCATTTTGAATGTTTAATAGGCAATTTTGAATAAATGCTCAAAATATAACCTTTATGGGTTTGGTTAAGGGGATGGGATAATGTATTGTCTCCCTTGAGTTCTAAATTTCTGTATATCTTAAGTCAAATAGAAATGATTCTTTGTAGGGCTTGGAACTCAAAAATAACTTTCGTTTTCTACCTCTATCTGTGCCAACTTGCAGATGTCTGTAGCAGTTAAGAAGATTTTGTATGCTGCTGCTGATGCAAAGAAATCAGCATTAGATGAAGGCATGCAGCTCGGGATCACCTTAACCCAACCATGAGTGCTGTTGAAGCTGAAACAGAAACTGAAGCCTGAACTCCCAAACGTAGCTCCTGGCTGGTATGCGTCAGATATTTGCTGGGGTCCTTGTTAAACAAGCTCAGTGCCGTCTATGATGAGAGACTGGTAATCCTTCCCCGTGCCATGGCCATAAAGTGCCATTTAATGTCATAGTTGTAGCTGTATGGTGCTTTTTTTTTTTTTTTTTTTGTAAGCTTGGATGGATAATCAGAGGATGTTCTGGTTGATCTTTCCAATAAATAGAGCTCATCTCAGCGTCCTTCTCATCTATTCAAAAAGAGTTGTTCTAATGAATGTTGCTTTAGAAATGGATGTGGTTAGCCACTGTATTTAGTATATATTAGAGCCTCTCTGCTATATGAAATTAGCTGCCAAGCATTCTGTATATTTAGTGATGTCTGAAATAATTTTGATTCAGAATGAGTCAATTGGTTTACTTTCTCCAATTTTGGTTTGATATGGTTGAAAAAATTATTGGAATTTAGGTGAGCAAGGAAGAAAAGAGAGAATAAAGACTGAATAATCTGAAAATAATTTTGATAGTATATAAAGGATGCGTTATAATGCAATAAAAAAATGAAGCGTCTTAATAGAATATTTTAATCCTAATTAAATAAGGAAATAAATAATGAAATATTGATAAATAAAAACTAATTCTAAGAAGAAGTCTAAATTACTCTAAAATACAATTCATATTATTATGAGATATTTGTTTTCATATATTATAACAGTCTTTCGTTAATGTTTAATGAAGTTAGGCAATACTAGAGCCGTCAAAATGGGCTCAACTTGGCGGGCCAACCCGCTAAACGGGGCGGGGCGGGACGGGACGAGCTGAGTTTTTCACCTCATCTCAAAAGTGGAGCGAGCGCATTTTTTGGCGGGTTAGTGTAAAATAGGCTCGGGCTGGCGGGCCAACTTGCCAAACGAGACGGTACAAGCTGAGTTTTTCAGTCCACTTTCAAAAGCGAGGCGGGGTGAGCTGACTCATTTTTTGACAGGTTGATGACGGGGGACGGGGCAAGCCGCCCACTTTGCCACCTCTGGGCAATACACTCAAACTCGTGCATTGAGTTAAATAGTACGTGTGCCACTTGATGTGATTGCTAATTTTGTGTCACCGCCCTCCACAAAGTCTGTGTGTTCTCATCTGCACCGAGAAAATCATAGCCAGCTAACACATATGGATGCCACACAACCTGTTGTAAGAAAAAAATGGTTATACTTTAGCACCATGCCCAATTCAAATTTCATAGATACAGTTTAGAATATAAAGATTCTAAATTTATTATATTTATATCATTTCGACCCATCTGGTCAAGCTCTATCCGATAATCCTTCAGATGATGTCAACAGAAGTGTAATTCCATATTATTGAACCTGCATTATTTAACACAAATATGAAGCATGTAATTATACTCAAATCAAAACTTAAACCCTAAAAGCATTTAAATTACCATAGACAAATTTAATATTTTCATATTGTTGTCTGTAGTGATCACCTGCCTGACTGGGCAGCGGAATGGGAGATGATATGGCAAGAAGTTTGGTCCATGCCCACATCTATAATAACAACATACATCCGCCAATGTCGTGTGCTGCATGTGACATGGTCTGACATAACTCGCGAAATAGTGTTGCGAGTACACGGGACCATTGAGCTAGACTTATCGCAGGGAAAAAATCCACTGAATAAGCAAATTAGATATGCATGTTATAAATAATCTGACCTGCATGAGTAGCTGTGTGCTTGTCCCAATGGCCCCAATGACGGTCTAACCAGCTCATCTTCAAGTTTTTGCCCTTTGTAACATCCCCGTCTCGAGTCGGTTCAATTAACATGCATATGATATAAACAAAAACAGCGGAAGACTTAACTTACGAAAATACGAGCTAACTTTTCCTTTTTCTACTTTAATTCTTACTCGGCGTAAACGAAAATCGGGCAGAGTGTCCTCTATAAAGCGGATCTAACACAAAATACTGAAATACTAAGTGAAAGCACTATACTCCAAAATAGAAGTAGCCTACAGCTACTCCAAATCCAATACGTCCAAAATCCTCAGTCACGGGTCGCGTCCTTGACTAGAGAGGTCTCACCGGGAATCTGGGCACCTGAAAATATGGCCCCAACGAGGGGTCAAATTAAAAATCTCAATAAGCTCCAGGTTTATAGAGAATTCTCCATACCCCTGGCTCACTCATGCATAAAAGTTAGATACAGAGTATACAATGCACATATAACAGATATTATAACAGAACAAAGCATATATTCATGTCATAACAGAGGCGTGCGCCGTCATTCCCAAGGGAGGACCCCAAGCGGAAATCAACGCACGTGTTCCCGAGGGAGGACCCCAAAGCGAAACTAGACATATCAGAGGCATACACCATTAGTCCCGAGGGAGGACCCCAAAGCGGACATCAGGGTACTATACAATCAATGGCCAGAGATTATTACAGAAATCATATTATCGAAGTCATATCAGAGCAAAACATATCATATCATCAAATAACTCTATATGAATGCATCTATACAAAGCATAAAAAACAGTCATACAATCCAACCACAGTTCACTAACCATGGTGGAGCACTCAAGTAGGAAAAGACTCCTTAAACATAGAGCTTACCTCTTGAAGCTTTACCAATACGCTTACTTGTTGCACAAGTTACTTATATGTCTTCAAGAGATTCCGATCCTTTTTAGTCCCTAGGTACACCTAAAGCAAGAATCCACAAATACAAATCAATAAAATGCTATCATGCCTAGATTTTCCATAAGGCATACATTTTATCGCTTATCTTCCTTTCTTTATATTTTTGTCAATGCTATGCCAATACACAAGTCTAGACCACCTTATACTCGTTAGCATTCTTTAATTTTAATCAAGTGTTCACTTGAGAATTTTTAACATCATTCATGCCATTTTCTTTAAGAGGCCGTGAACCTACCCTTAAGGGACTCAAGGTATTTTTCAACCCTTTTTCAAGCCATTTCACTTCTTAAGTCATCAAATTTATACAACGAATTACAACACATTTTATTAAAATAAAGTGCAACAAATATATCCCCAAGCCACCCTATAGGTCGAATTCTACAAGGACAATAGGCAAAAGGGTTCTTTTCTTTTTACTTATTCTTTCTTCACTTAGTTAGCAACTTAAACATACATATATGTATTAAAAAAGGTTTCAATAAAATTTTGGAACATAAAGCCCCTCTAAAGCCCCACAAGGCCGAACATAAGGGCATTTTTATATAATTCTCCTCACTTTGGCCTTCTCACCAATTTATCGAATTTTTTCCACTTAATTCCTACACCTTAAACCCTCATGATGCATCATATAAAGTTTTGTCCAATGATCCCTATAAACCTACAAGGCCGAGGCAAGAGGGAGGTGCCATAGGATTTTATATTTTATATTTTAATTTATTTTTAACACAATAAAATGCTTAACTTACATTACTATATCCAAGACATCAAAGGTTCATCATAATTTCAAATTTTAAAATACTATATTTTCCTACCAAAACATACTCCTAAATTTAATAGCCTACTCATCAAAATACAATCATAGAAATAGAGGTTTATTACCTCCAAAAGCTTATACAAGGTCAAGGAGATAACCTCCAAACAAGTCTCCACCAAAAACTCCCCTTTTTTCACCTTGGATGAATAGTGCACGAAAATGAGATGACAAATATCTCCCTCCACAAACGAAATCAGCTCAAATGGAGGGGTGGAATAGCTTCCTTGGATGATTTCCTATGAGGTTGGTATAATAGGTGGAAGATTTGGTTGTATATTGGAGGAGAAATCAAAGAAACAAGAACCAAAACCCTAGCCCCCTTTCCATTGCTGCAGCTCGGCCCCAAGGAGAGAGAAGAGAGTGTTTTTCTTTGAGTGAATAGTGATCACTTAAGTCACTTATGTTTTATAAGCACATGTGGCTTTTAACCGGATATTTTTCTTTCGCGTATTTTCACTTACTTTGACCCGAGACTAACTTAAAGCTACAAACATATTGTTATTTTTCTAAACTCATTTACATAAATTTTTATTTCCTAAGGAACAATATTCTTAATTTACAGTATAGTTTCTGCACCGTTTTTGACGAAATGCACTGTGAACCACTAACTGTACTTCGTTTACCTCTGAACTTAAGACTTATAAACTTGTAATTTTCTTGGGCCTATTTTGACTTGCTTGGCATATATTGGACTTTCTTATTCTTATTTCATCAATTATTTGTTTTTGGACTCTACCGGTTGCTTAAACAGCGGTACAAAATACCCGGCAAAAAACACTATTCACGAGATTTTCACGGAAAGCGCCAGTCTATACAATTTTTCGTTCTGAACTCATATATAGAGTCAGAATTGTCAAATTATGTCTCCAAAATCATTTTGCTCATTTTAGCTCTACCGGTTAATTCACAAGACTGCAAATTCTCCGGCAGAACGCACTGTTCATAACCTAGTCATGATTACAGTCAAAATACTCAAAATCACTCACTGAATCTAATTATGGCATTTAAATCTTTAAATTAAATCTCTATTAAGATTTACAATTTAGGGTCATTATACCCTTCATATGTGCGGCGAGTGGTGTCACTCCCATGTAATGGTGTATTACATTACGCCAACTTGTGCCCCCCTCGGAAAACTACCTGTCGTTAGTGGGAAAACCCAGAATAGTCGCTACATCTTGTAGCATGATAGTGCACTCTCCAACGGACATATGGAAGGTGTGAGTCTCTGGCCTCCACCTTTCTACCAATTCACTAAGTGCATGGTCAATTTGAATAAAAGATAATAAATAAGGGTATGATGTTATCTGTATCATGTAAAAATAAATGACTAGAATTAAAGAAAAAGTAACACATACCGATAGTCTTCTCATACGAGCAACGTGCCAAAAACCTGCATGCATCATATGCCCCTGCAAGTCCAAGGGAATATGATCTGGGTCTTGCACATCCCCCGAAGATCCTCTGAGGCTCACCTCACTTACGAAATCCTAGAACGTTTGTCATTCCCAACAGCCTGCGAAATGTGTGTTTGCTGCACATCAAGATCAAGTACCCCCCACCTCACTCTTTAGGACCGGGGTCAATATGGGCGCGCTCACGAGCCATTTAACTAATAAAGATTTACAAAATATCATAATTACTATTTTTTAAATACCAACGTTCAGTACATTACTTACTTACCAAATTATAATTTAAAATTTTAAAATTAAAAAAAAAATTACATTATTTAAATTTTACAAAAACTAAATATAACATTAAATTGGTTGATATCCTAATGTTTTAATACCTAAATATCCAATATATAATTCTAAATACTAGGGGTTTAACATTTCTATTTTTGTTGAAGAAAGTTTT